TTCAAAAGTTTCTAGTTCCTGGGTACAGTTCCTGCGGTGAAAACGTGGCGAGTTCCTTCAAACGTTCCTAGTTCCTGGGTAAAGTTCCTGCGGTGGAAACGTGGGGAGTTCCTTCAAAAGTTCCTAGTTCCTGGGTAGACTTCCTGCGGTGGAAACGTGGGGAGTTCCTTCAAAAGTTCCTAGTTCCTGGGTAAAGTTCCTGCGGTGGAAACGTGGCAAGTTCCTTCAAAAGTTCCTAGTTCCTGGGTACAGTTCCTGCGGTGGAAACGTGTCGAGTTCCTTTCAAAAGTTCCTAGTTCCTGGGTACAGTTCCTGTGGTGGAAACGTGGGGAGTTCCTTCAAAAGTTCCTAGTTCCTGGGTAAAGTTCCTGCGGTGGAAACGTGGGGAGTTCCTTCAAAAGTTCCTAGTTCCTGGGTAAAGTTCCTGCGGTGGAAACGTGGTGAGTTCCTTCAAAAGTTCCTAGTTCCTGGGTAAAGTTCCTGCGGTGGAAACGTGGTGAGTTCCTTCAAAAGTTCCTAGTTTCTGGGTAAAGTTCCTGCGTTGAAAAAGCAGCTTATGCCCTTGATGAAGGCAGGATTTGGTGCACGGCTGTTGGATTACACTGCATTAGCTTGGTGATATTAATAAACTGGTAATTTAGAGTACTGATGTCACAAATTCTCCTTAATAGTATTGTGATATTGACATTAGCCATATCGCCCATCCCTCGTATAGATCATGTCTGAAAGAGGCTGAAGACTTTATAGACTCATGGACAGGGGTCATTATGGACTTGTGGAGAAGGGTCAAATTAAACAATTAAAACAAAGACAATATAAGTAAATCGCTAACTTAAACCATGGTAGAATCACAAAAATTCAGGACAAATAAACAAATCTGACCAAGTCAGGCAAGCAGGCTTTCAACTCCTGAAACGTTTACAGCAGGATTTAAAGCTGCACAGAGGTGCAGGTTGTGTGGTTTTATTTTTTATCTTTAATTTATTTAGGATACATTTTTTGGACATTTCAATTCTATTGTCCTTATATTCTAAAGAATAAAAAATAAAGTTGCTCTTTCAAAGGGTGTACTTGCATTATTATGTTATTATATTATCATAATATAAGTGGCATAAAATGGTCTTAAAATGACAATAATATAATTTATTGCTATTTTTTCTTACACAATATACCGTCAAACAAAAAGTATTTATCAAATAGTATTTACAGACCTAGTCGACACCAGTGCTGGAGAAGCCGTAATGCTATATTAACACCCGAGTCATGCAGTCTTTCCGTCATCTGAAACTGAAGCGCGCTTCAGTCCAAATGTGTCAGAGGCACGATTATATGACTAAAAACAATAATCACTTCCTCAACACTCAGATCACGGTTGCTGAGGGTGAAACCTCAGCACTTTGGAGGACTGACTGTGGTACTGAAAACAGGTCAAGCTCTCCAAGTTGGCACTCAACGCACCCATTTTCATTATTATTTTTCTTTGATCAGATAAGGTGGCCTTTCTGGTAAACTTGCAAACAGACCAGCACACATCAATCAGAGTGAGCAAAACTGTTTTATATGCTGTGGCCTCCACGCCCAGCAAATGCCACCACAAATTCATGTTCAGCCAGGAAAACCCTGAGGTATAAACGGAGGGAAACCACAGCAGAAAAGGTACGGCGAAACCACTGACAAATCTTCTCACAGCATGTGCATCATATCGCCTAATGTCTTCTGAGCTGAATATAAATAACACTGAACTCATTATTAATATAATCCAATGTGTAGTGAACACACTCTCACCTAAGGCCATATCTGTGTTTGGGAAGCCAATAATCACAGCGAGCTTAAGTAAACACGGGCTGTAATTGGCCAAACAGCTCACCCGTCAACACGCAGAGCGAGACAAAAACGGGAATATCACGCCTGATCAGGTTTGTGTGTCATTTTGAAATTCATTGTGCAAAACATCAACAATCGCAAAGAGATTTTAATGATAATTTAAACTTAGCGCCAGACTCTAAACTTTCTTTAGTTCAATTACTCTTTTAATTTCCCAATTTAGCAATGAAACATCCACAACAACCTAAACATTTATATTAATAAACAAAAAAGGACAAAGCCAAAAGTCAGTGTATTGGTGAAAGTTTGACAACAACATGTTTGTTTTTACTTGATAAATTAATCAAAGAGTCCTGGTGGATGAATATCAGACCTGGACCCATCTGGTGAGGTTTAGTCCATGCTGCTGGTCCTAACTTTACCTTTTACCTGGACAGTCAAGTTTCAACTTACTCTTAGATACTACCTTCAGATGACCTAAATCATTTCAGATAAAGTAACAGTGTTTCCTCTATATGCATTGTCCGAGCGGCAGAAAGCGACGTTGAACACGGGCAGAGGAAAATATTCTGGCAGTAAATGTACGTTGTCTGTTGCAGCTTGTCAGCTTCTCAAGACCAAGAAAAGTCTGTTGTTTCCCACCTGCTGGAAAAGTGAATCCGGTTAGCGCTAAAGGCAGATTTATACTCCTGCGTAGGGTCATGCATTTATACTTGGGCGTAGGTGTGTCCCTCATTCTGCAATTATACCCCCAAATGCTAGTCGGCAGTAGCGCTACAGTGTCCACTGTGTTGACTTTTGCCGGCCGAGCAGGCTAACTTCCGGTTTAGCACTCCGCTAATGTAAATGGAGTAAAATTGTAAACATGCGGCTGGCGTAGCCTTTTCAAATGTTACCGGCCGAATGGATCACATTCTGATAGCGAAACAAGTCATTTCACTCGGGTTGCGACCGTCAAATATATTGATTCACTGTGTCACAGCCGCCATTTTGACCGCTAGTAAATGTTACATTAAAGCGTGGGGTACTTCAGGTCGGCTCGGAGGCATTGTGAGGCTACCCAGCCGACCAATCACAGCGCTTACGGTCCATGTCGACTTGACATGTAGTTACATTTTTTTAGGAGGTGCACGTCAGGCGACGGCATAGCCTCTGCGTAGCCCCGTCGATTTGACGCAGAAGTATAAAGTGCCCTTAAGTTAGCTAACATCTCCCCTCCCCTTCAGGCTGCGCAGCTTCTACAGCAGCTACAGAGCTGCTATGTAACTTAACATTAGCTCAATTTATAGAAAGTAACTGGAAGCTGTATTTTATTACTGCCTACTTGTCCAATGTTGAGAACATCAGTTACAATCTTAGACTAAACTGACGTAGCCTGCAGCTCTGTCCTGTACAGACTGATTCAATTATTTTTCAGGTTTCAGTCTGAAAAAGTGGTTTAGGAAAAGAAAGGACGGAGGTGACTGGAGGAGCTGAGGTTAGTAAAGCTAATTAGTGATGCAAACTATTCCTTTTAAGCTAACGAGGGGACATTTCTTTTTGAATTTTAATGTGCAAATAAAATGCACCTCAGAAGGGAGGAGGTTTCTCATGTTGCCTATTTTTTATATTAATGTCTACAGATAAATGTCAGAAGCTGTAAAATGAAGACACAGAAGGCAAACATAAACAGTTGTATCTATAATGATTCTGAGGTCATATTAACAGGGTTTTCCTGCCGTTAAGGCTTAGGGGTGATGCCCAAAACATGCTGTGCCATCACTGTAAAATTACTGTGGAGCAAAACAACGAACCAAATTAGTTTTTCCAGATCTAAAGGTTGTAGTACCTCAGTAGACTGATCTTTGGCTGTTTGTTATTTATTATCTGCTCTAGCTTTTCCAACTATTTGTTCAGAGATATGGTGAAATAATGGCCCAATATGATGTGAAATTACATATTTTTCATTGGAAAACATAAAATTTTCTTGAGGGGGGCACCCCCAAACCCCCCGACCAACACCAAAACATTCATCTAAAGCTCACATTAAATAGGGAAAACACTGCAGTTTTAAGCTGTTATAAGGTGCATCGCATGCTCACGGACAAAAGAGCAATGTTGCTGAAACATGTTGTGTTGGGGTTTTAATATTCAGACAAAAATTTTGCTGCACCTCCGTTTGCCTATTTTTTTCAGGGGGGGGCGGTGCTGTTTGTCCTCCCCCCGCTGCTGGAAAAAATCCTAGAGGAAACACTGAGTAAGTCATGGCATAAATGTCCATTATTTTGCAACTACAGACTCAAACCAACACATCCTGTTTTTAGCTTTCTAATAAACATTATCATTCCTGACAATGTAAAGTCACCCTGTAAACAGCTGAATACTTAAAGTTAAAGTTCAGACTTGGCCAAAAAAAAAGCCCAGCTAGTACGTCCTAACTTGCATGTAAAGACAATCACGTCAAATCCAATTTAAAAAAACAAAAAATATATAAAGTAAGAATTCTTGTTAAGGATGTACACTATTAGATAAACACGACTTACAGTCCGCAAATGCGTCATTTGGTTCTGTTATTCATAACGGCATAGCTCTAATTTGCCACAAAAATTAATAGTCGTTCATTAAAGGTTTATCAGTTAACGTTAGCTAACGTTAACGTAACTAAAAGAGGCATGATACAGCTTAAAAAGTTAACTATGATATCATTAAATAAGCTGCTATGTGTGTCACTTAATGACCGAACCAACAAGAAGAACAATATAATTTGCTAAATATCTTAATTCGTGGTCTTCTCGCTAAATATATACGTGTAATTAAGTAACGCCAGACTGAATTGCCAGATTTTTGAACGGGGTTCAGCGGGACGTCGGCTGCTAGCACGGTGACAGCGACGTTCACGTAACATAGTAAACAAGCCAAATTAGCCCTCGTAGCTAATGCGTGCTAACTAAGTTACGCTAACGACGTATCGGAAATGGACAAAAAGAGGCAACAACATATTCTGCTAACACTTTCTATCACACAAAAGCTGGAGACTGTGTCATGTTATGTTGTTATTCACTATGAATACACGAATTCTAAGCAGAGCGCCATGTAGAGGCAACAAGATAACGTTATCTTGGAGCTTGACAAGCCCAGGCAAGGCCTCTCTTCCTCCGGGGAGCTCTCCTCCTCCTGCCCCGGTTTTTGAGACTCACCCTGGTCGATGTGATGTCCATCATAACCTCCTGGAAGGCGGCTGTCTCCTCGGCCTGTCGCTGGGTATGCAGCGCTATCTTCTCACTAAACTTTCGGGGGTTGGAAGCCCCGGACCCGGAGCCCGACGTGGGTCCGGGTCCGGGTCCACAGCCTCCTGTACCCGTCGCAGACATCTTCACCGAGCGGACGGGACGACTTGACGTAGTGGAACGATTTTCACCAGAGACGCGGAGAAAAGTGAAGAGGTCTCACTCCGCAGATTCTTCTGGGGGCCTGAAGTGTCAGGAACTTTCCTTGAAGTTCATAATAATATGAGTAAAACATAAAAAGTTTGAAATAGCTGTAACCACATTCTGAATGTATGTAGGCCTACTCAGAAGAAAAAATAAAAGCTTCTATAAAAGTCATCACATAAAACAAATCTATTATATATGATTTTGTGATTAAAAAGAAATGTTAGGTTACACCTTGACCAGAAAAATAGTAAAATAAATAAATAAAACCAAATTAAATAAACAACAAATGCTTCATAAAAACAGGCTAAATAATATTTTTTCCAAGCTTTTGCAACCTACGAACTTCCCAAACATAGTAACAGCAGCAATATTGGTTTATTAAGTTTATATGTGCTTTAGACAGGAACTAGGGGGGTTTGAGACAGAGAGTTTGACAAACAAAAATAGAAAAGCGGAAATTGGACTTGCAGCTAACGATTTTTTCATTATCGATTAATGCATTGGTCTTGATTAATCGATAATATGTTTGGTCTATAAAATGTCTGGTGAAAAGTGTCAGTGTTTCCCAAAGCCCAAGATGACGTCCTCAAATGTCTTCTTTTGTCCAAAACCCAAAGATATTCACTCCACTGTCATAGAGGAGGAAAGAAACCAGAAAATTTTAACACAAGTGTGCCATAAGAACTTTCTGAAAATATTTACTAAAATTTTAACTTTAATTAAAATAACTAATAAGATCTTCTACAGCACAAAAATATTTGATATAAATAATTATTTTCCCAAGTTATTAATAAAGTCTTGCGATTTTTAAATCAGCACAACTTGCATCATTTTAATTTTAGTTGGACAAATATTTTCGTGCTGACTATTCCAGAACAGTGTAGCAGCAATATAAGTATATTGTATGTGTTCACACAGTCCACATGTCAGATACATAATTATTAAAGGGAGAACAGACGTGTTTCAGATCTGTGTGGTTTGGTCATGGAGGAGGTGTGAACGCCCACAGTCAAAAACAGCAGGCGGATCTGGTCATTGCTTCACACCACAGAGTGAGTCCTCCTGTCACAGCACAGACAAGCTTTGGCTGCTGGGAGAAAGTGGCAGAGCGCCCCCTGCCGGCGGAGTCCAACCACTGAAGCGCTGAAACCACAGAAGTCAACTTCCTGAATTAATCAGCGTCCTGATTAAAATGCGATTCTTTCCTGCAGGGCTTTTCAAAGTTTTTTCAGGGGGTGCTAAATGAATGACCGCAAAAAACATAACACAACTTATTATTTATGAAATAAAATAGCATAAATGTGGGTGATGTGGTTAAAGAAGAGAGTTTTACTGTTTTCCCAGAGTCAGAAACTAATAAATAAAACTTTTTTTTAATGTACTTGGTGTTATTTCAAACAGTATTATTAAGTCATTTGGCTCAATTGTTCATAGAAAACCATACAACGAAATTTGGAGTGCTCCTGTAAGGTGCTGAACATTCATGCATTCATCCACACATTTGTTCATTCATCCATCCATCGTCAACCGCTTACCCTGCGTACAGGGTCGCGGGTCGTTCATTCATGACCATGAAAATAAATAATGAAACACTAATAATTAGTAAATATAGAATTAGAAGTTAAAATTATTAAATTAAAATTATTGTACATATGAAAGGAACATTCACTTTGTGTATCCAATGAAATAAATACACTACAGAGTCTGTCTGAATGTAAAACCCCAACACAGCATGTCTCAGCAGCATTGCTCTGTGTGTGTCCATGAGCATGCGATGCACATTAGAATAATTAACATTTCAGTGTTTTCCCATGCTGGCTTTAGATGAATGTTTTGGTGGTTGTCGTGGTAGTCATGGCCATTATCTCTGAACAGTTAAAAAAGCTATCGAGCAGATAAGAAATAAACAACACCCACAGATCAGCCTACAGATCAGCCTACTGGAGGAACTACATGATTTGGGGAAAGTAATTGGTTCTGATGCTCTCCACGGTGATTTCACATTTATGGCACAGCATGTTTTGCGCTTCGCTCGCGTTCACCTTCACTTTCTGCCGCTGGGGCAATCAAACACTCGCTACGCACCTCCCGATTTGGAGTTACGTTGCTGTTATAACAGCACCTGTCACGTAGATGTCTTTTGAAGAATGAGGAGAGGAAGCGAGCCAAGCAGAGATTGTTACCGTGCTGGCAGAGTGTGTGAGTGACAGTTTCCTGGAGAAAATGTGAAAGCAGGGGAGGGCAGAGAGTGAAAACAGAAGACAGAAATATATGTAACATTTGTGGAAGTTTGTAATTTGAGGGAGGGTCTCCCTAATTAATGTTCGAGGTTTCTTACCATTGTATTTATCCATCCAACGCTGGGGACGCTGGGGACATGTGACCTCCTCCTTTTTTAAAGCATTATTTGTTTAAAAAAAATTTAGCTTGCAACAAATGAAATTGCCTTTAGAACGGTTTATTTGCACATTAAGAAAACATGCAATGCAATTAAAATAGAGAAGAAGCAAGTGTGCGTTGTCCAAAAAAGTAACTGAAGCTAAAAGAAAAACAAGCTGCTGACTATAAAATAACCCAAAAACGTGAAGCACCAGCCCGTAACTTTAACAACTTCTTGATACAGTTTCTTTTTGGCCAGGTTTTCTCCCTGTGAACATGACAAAAGAGGAGGGAAGACTAAATCATGCCTACATGTGTGTTGCTTCAGCAGGGATGATATTACATGAGAAAAGTTGATCTACAGGAGAAACAGATCTGAAAGCAGCACAGAATGACTGAGAGCTGCACTGACTCCGATTCTATTATATATTTTGAAATGTCACGTGCCACCTTAATTTTGTGTTTCTTTTTATAGAAATAAAAACATTTTCACCATAAATTGGTGCAGAAACTTTCACCAGAATTCAGGAAATTAAGTGTTAAAAGATCAAAATTTCCTGGGGGAGGCCCCCACAGACCTCCCACTCATATATATCAGCATTGAGGATATCTTTAAAACGCTGTTTAAAGATGTTTTTGTCATGTTGTGATGTCTCACGAGCTAAGTGTCTCTTCACACCCCTAATCTAAGCCGCTATGTCCCCACCACTTTTCAACACAAAGTGACGCCCTTGTTAACAAATATATGAACAAGTAAACCGAGCAAACACCATCCACCAATAAAGTGCAGGAGTTAAGGTTAAAAACTTTAGAAAAACCCAGTAAGTGTTGCTTTGATTTAAGTGGAGCTGACTGAGTGCGGTGTGTTCAAGTGCTGCTGGAAAGCTCCAACATCAGAGCTGAGACTTCAGATGGCCAGCCGCATGAATTCTATCCATCCATCGCCAACCGCACAGGGTCGCGGGGGGCTGGAGCCAATCCCAGCTGACAATGGGCAAAAGGCGGGGTACACCCAGAACAGGTCGCCAGTCCATCACAAACAACCACTCACGCTCAGACAATTTAGGGTCACCCATCATCAACCTAGTCTGCATGACTTTGGATGGTGGGAGGAAGCCGGAGCACCCGAAGAGAACCCATGCAGACACGGGGAGAACATGCAAACTCTACACAGAAACCGCTGCATCACCCACCTGCATGAATTCATGTTCTGTAAATTATTCAGTAAGCAAATATTGATGCTATTATAAGGCTAACATGCCCTTCGAAGCTTCTTGGATAAATATATTCCAGTTTAGATTCTGATACGCTGCTTGGAAGGGAAAATCCATATTTATCCATCAGTCATGATAGAGCTATAATTTAGATTTGACTTTATAGGCCCTTTATAGCTCTTATACCTTATACCTAAAAAATGACAGGATAATTATTAGTTTATTTACACTAATTGTTTGTAATTTTATTGTACATGTAGACCAAACACCTCGTAACCATTTCCAATTGAGTTCAAGCCTGTGAGTTTTAGAAAATCTTGAAATCTTCAAACCAACAAACGAAGACTCTCGGTCACTTTATGATCTGAAGCACTATTTTATGTTAAATTCAGTTTTTCATGTATTGTCACAAATACATAATATAACACATATTTCACACATTCAACACAAGGACTAAAATACTGCAGTCTTTAAAATGACTTTGGATCAAAGACTTTGGTATTATAATTACAAAAATAAATTTCTAAGTGCCCGATAAGTGCATCACTCTCGTTACATCAACACTTTCATGATTCCTGCAGAACATCTCTGCTCATAAAAGCCTGTTAAAGCAAAAATAAATGATCTTAAACAGGAGAGAGACAAGGTTTCCACCCGCCGGCTCTGCCCTCTCAGTGTCCGGCTCTGTAGTAAATTCCCTCTGACTGAACAACGACAACCAGCCCATTGTGTTTGTCCAGCGCGGAGTTTCTTCTAAATAAGAGACTTCTTTTAACTCGAGTGAAAGGAGGAGGGATATGTGGAGTTTTTCCCCGCTGAACACAAGTGTTTTCTGTTTCTGCCTGAAGAAAAAGACAAATCACATATTGTCACATCTGATTTAAACTCTATCAGGACACATTTCCACGGCTACAAACTGAATTTTATGGTTTTAGTTGCAGATATTTGCTGTTTTTGGAAATGTGAACTACTGAAGATTGTAAAAATACGACTTGTATATGATTTGTTGGCAGGCAGGAGTAGTCATGTGTATTGGGAGAGACAGTGTAGATACTAATGATTGATTTTGGTGTCAAGCAAAATTATTACAATTTTATATTTTTCATTAGTGTTTATTTTATTTTGACGTTTTGTTTTCAAGTTCAGTTTAGTCTTAATTAGTTATTAAAAAATGTTTGCTAGATTAGTTTAGTTGTTTTATTAGTTTATTCTTATTTTGTACATGGTGTATTAGTCAGGGACGTTGATTAATTCTGGCACAGCTAAGAATCTGGAAGATGGATTTCATATCCAACCAAAATACCACGCTTATGTAGGCCCTGTAAAATAGACTGCCAAAAACTAAACACATTTACGCTGTAATTTTTAGTTTAGTTTGTTTTGTAAAAAGACAATACGGCTTCCGTTACTTATTGTTTTTTGTAAAGCCTCATTATTTTTCAGTTACTGAAAATGTTGTTTTACACACCTAGTTTTGGTTATTTAGTTAATGATTGTAACCTTGCTAGTAGGTTTAAAAAGTTTGGGGTGGGGGCCGGGGACCAGGGAGAGCGGGGCAGTAAAATGCCCCTAGCCGATGGAGAGCTACTAAACTTGGGGGAGCAGTCGAGGACAGAGCAGGGAGCTTTTGGACCAATAAACACCCGTAGTCGGTCTGGATTATGCTCTGAAAACAACGCCGTTTACCTCGGGAGGAGCTCGGAGTTAGCTGCTTTTATTAAATTACTTTAGTTTTTTGGATTTGCAACGTTTGTTTTTCTTCCCTCGCGCTTAAATTCGCATTTGGTCTGAACGCACAGTAAGGTTCAAAAGCACAGAAATATGTCTTTTGTACAATACATTTTTAGAATTTTCCAAAAAGTTACAGACCAAAGGTTTGGATTCCGCTGTGATACATGGCAGCAGATTCAAACGTGGGAGAACTTTTGGTTTTGTGTCTGTGTTTCCGTGGTTACAGTTTGATGAAGAGCACGGCGGTAACCACGGCGAAGCCCACCAGCAGCATGGCCACCTTGGGGATGCGGTTCCTGGCGGAGCCAAGCTCGTGCGGCAGGATCTCCATGAAGGTGATGTAGATGAAGGTTCCCGTTGCCAGCCCCTCCAGCGTGCACCGCGCCAACTGGTGTTGTGGGGACGCCTTGGTCTCGGTGAGGCTGATGCCCACGCCGATGCCCAGCGGGGACATGGCGGCAAACAGCAGCAGGCAGCCGGCCACAACAGAGCGCCGCAGCCGGCCCTGGGACAGCTTTAAAGCCAGGCTGAAGGAAATGATGCTCTTGTGGATCATCAGTGCCAGGCAGATCTCCAGCACCTTCTTCCCCTCCTCCAGCAGCCCCACCGCCAAACCCTCAAACACTGAGTGCAGAGACAGTGAAAAGACCAGGATGAAGGCGCGCAGGGCGGACTGGGAGCCGAAGTCCACATGGAAGTGGCCGCTGTCGGAGTCCTCTGACCCACGCCGCCGCTGGGAGCGGTGGTGACCGTTCTTGTCATTTGCCTGGATGCTGGAGTCCACCAGCAGAGCCTGGCGCTCCTCTATGTGAGGGGACGATTGGTCTTTGAAGGCCAGGATGATCTGCTCCAGAACCAGGACCAGGAAGAAGCCCATGGCCATGATGAACTCAGGCAGAGGGAACTGGAGCTGCGTGCAGGAGAAGGAGAAGACAGTTTGGTCCAATTAAATCATAAACTGGAACACGTGTCTGGCTCAGCACACAAATGCTACGTGTGCATATCAGTTATTAAGATGCAGGAAGTGAAATCAAACAGAAATGTTTTCATTTCTAAAAAAAATACTCAAAACATATTTGCTTAAATTTCATTATAAAAGTGCTTGATGAAATAGAAAACACATAAATAAAGTAAAATAAAGTAGTTTATTTCCCCCTCTTATAGAAATATCAGATAATGCGGGTTTATAAATTTCTAACTTATCGTGTCAGTAAAGTTGCAAAATATAGATCTGCTGTCACCATCTCTGTCAATACAGGATGACAAAACTGCTGAAGAGCGAAAACCAGCGGAAAGAAAAGAAGATTCAGATCAGAGATAAAAAACCTCACACACACAGAATTAATTAATTAATTAATATGATGTGTTAAACGACGTGTTACTAAAAATATGTTGGGTGAAAGTATCACCACATTAGTGTAGTAGTATGATGCGGTTTTGCTTACATTTTGGGGATTATACAGTATATACTGAAACACACGCTTTTATTTTGAAATATGTGGGCTAGAATTTCTGCAAAGATGTTTCTCTTTTCTTTCTTCATCAAGTGTTGCTGATACGTCTTATTGTGTTTTTTCCACAAATGTGATTATAATGGGTTTTAAAGTTGGATATTTTCCCTTTGGTCTATCACAGGAAGTGTAGTCGACATTTTATTTTGTGAACTGCCAATATTTCTGTTGCCGTCACTTCCACTTTGTTTTGGGACTTTCACTGGGAAGCTTTGCATTTTTGTTGCTCTCTCCATCATTTTAGGTTGTAAATGCAAAGTAAACGTCATGAAAAATGCAAAGAGAGCGTGCATGACAGTTGGTAACAATATGTAGAACCTGCTTAAGGTCAGTATATAATTATTTTTGTTATTAAATTAAATAAAGTTATTATTTATTACATTATTTATTTTACAGTTTTAAAATATTGTGAAGGAAGGTCTGAGCTTTGAGACACTGAATGTGATATATTTGAGTCTGAGTAAAGTTTGGATTTATTATTTATCTTTTAATTTAATATCCAGCACCTGCTTTGGGACTGCAGATGAGAATTAGCTTTTAGCTATGTCTGGTACAATACATTTATTGTGCATTGTCCCCGTCAAATAAATAACTATAAACATAAAGAACACAGAGTCAGAGTCAGAGTCAATTCGTTTTTTGTCCTAGACTGCCGGACCTAATGTTGTTCAAGTCATCTGCAAGCCAAAAAGCTAAAGGAAGAATGGAGAACAAGGGAGATAGGCGTTCTGTCGACAGCTGAAACATAGTCTGTACCAGTGGTTCTCAAACTTTTGTCTGTTTATGTCACCACATGAATCATATTCCTGCAACTTTAGGTCCACTCAAAACAGTTATGATCTTCATGTTCCAGTATGATCACCAGCTGGTCTCTAGCTGTGTCTGTCTGTTGAGCAGCTCGTGCACAGCGGCTTTATCAGAAAACAGCTGCTGCTGGAAACGGACCAGACAGGAGATGTGCCACAAAACCAAAACCAGCAGCTAAAAGAGGCTCAAAAAGCTCCACTGAGTGTTAATATAAAATATACTGATATTAAATTTAAGACAAGCTGGGAAACTGTGTGATTCATGAAAACAAACAAAAAATTAATTGAAAACGACAAAATATTAAACAGTATATGTGGTGTAAGGCAGGAAGTGTGGGAAGAAAAAGGGGAGCGAGGGTCACATACTGTTACCGCAGTATTTAATGTTTGCTTGTTACAGTGTTAAGCTTTTGTGAGGGAGGAAAGTGATTCCTGTTAAACACCCCCCTCCTTTCACACACACACACACATCACATTGACTCACATTCATTCCCTGGAAACTTATCCTAAACCACAACTTGCCTGAACATCACCCTTACCTTAAACACAGTCTTCACCCTAGAAGTTAATGATTTACGTTTTCGTCCCCATAAATAAGGTGAGTCCCCACAATGTGAAGGTGTTCACAGATTTATGTCCTGTTAGTAATTCCTGCCCACACACACACAAACCAGGTTTCCCAGCAGTGTCTGTTTTAGTATTGACCTTCAGCCGCCCTCCTCCTTAAAATCAGACAGTTTGAAGCAGCTTTAACCCTGTCATTACAAAATCCACCATGAAATTTATTACAGTAAGAGCGCCATCATCAGGTGAAATTAAGATTATACTATGATAAGATGATACTATGATTATCTACCATAGGGTGGTAGATGGTAGATAAACATGATAAGGTGCCCTCTTGGACGCCCCAATGGTAGATAAACATGATAAGGTGCCCTCTTGGACGCCCCAATGGTAGATAAACATGATAAGGTGCCCTCTTGGACGCCCCAATGGTAGATAAACATGATAAGGTGCCCTCTTGGACGCCCCAATGGTAGATAAACATGATAAGGTGCCCTCTTGGACGCCTCTATGGTAGATAAATATGATAAGGTGCCCTCTTGGACGCCCCAATGGTAGATAAATATGATAAGGTGTCCTCTTGGACGCCTCTATGGTAGATAAACATGATAAGGTGCTCTCTTGGACGCCCCAATGGTAGATAAACATGATAAGGTGCCCTCTTGGACGCCCCAATGGTAGATAAACATGATAAGGTGCCCTCTTGGACGCCCCAATGGTAGATAAACATGATAAGGTGCCCTCTTGGACGCCCCAATGGTAGATAAACATGATAAGGTGCCCTCTTGGACGCCTCTATGGTAGATAAATATGATAAGGTGCTCTCTTGGACGCCCCAATGGTAGATAAATATGATAAGGTGCCCTCTTGGACGCCTCTATGGTAGATAAACATGATAAGGTGCTCTCTTGGACGCCCCAATGGTAGATAAACATGATAAGGTGCCCTCTTGGACGCCTCTATGGTAGATAAACATGATAAGGTGCCCTCTTGGACGCCTCTATGGTAGATAAACATGATAAGGTGCCCTCTTGGACGCCCCAATGGTAGATAAATATGATAAGGTGCCCTCTTGGACGCCCCAATGGTAGATAAACATGATATGGTGTCCTCTTGGATGCCCCAATGGTAGATAAACATGATAAGGTGCCCTCTTGGACGCCCCAATGGTAGATAAACATGATAAGGTGCCCTCTTGGACGCCCCAATGGTAGATAAATATGATAAGGTGCCCTCTTGGACGCCCCAATGGTAGATAAACATGATAAGGTGCCCTCTTGGACGCCCCAATGGTAGATAAACATGATAAGGTGCCCTCTTGGACGCCCCAATGGTAGATAAACATGATAAGGTGCCCTCTTGGATGCCCCAATGGTAGATAAATATGATAAGGTGCCCTCTTGGACGCCCCAATGGTAGATAAACATGATAAGGTGCCCTCTTGGACGCCCCAATGGTAGATAAACATGATAAGGTGCCCTCTTGGACGCCTCTATGGTAGATAAACATGATAAGGTGCCCTCTTGGACGCCCCAATGGTAGATAAATATGATAAGGTGCCCTCTTGGACGCCTCTATGGTAGATAAACATGATAAGGTGCCCTCTTGGACGCCCCAATGGTAGATAAATATGATAAGGTGCCCTCTTGGACGCCTCTATGGTAGATAAACATGATAAGGTGCCCTTTTGGACGCCCCAATGGTAGATAAATATGATAAGGTGCCCTCTTGGACGCCCCAATGGTAGATAAACATGATAAGGTGCCCTCTTGGACGCCCCAATGGTAGATAAACATGATAAGGTGCCCTCTTGGACGCCTCTATGGTAGATAAACATGATAAGGTGCCCTCTTGGACGCCCCAATGGTAGATAAACATGATAAGGTGTCCTCTTGGACGCCTCTATGGTAGATAAACATGATAAGGTGCCCTCTTGGACGCCTCTATGGTAGATAAAATGTGAAAAGTGCCCGCTTGTCCTAGTTTTCTATTAAATTTGAGTTTAAGTTTTATTTCCTTTCCTGCAGACACTGTAATTCTTTCCGTCAGCTCTGTACTGTGTCAGTTTATGTCAGTTTGACATGTGACTGAGTGAGCCCACATGTTTATGATGCTGTATGTGTATTAAGAAGAATAGCCAAAAGTCTGATCTTACTATGATTCCTGTGTTGCTGAAGGCCTCATTGATGCCCTGCAGGTAGTCTGGCAGCAGGTCCAGCAGACAGGTAGCCAAGAAAACTCCACCAGCAAAACAGCTGATCAAACTCAGCAGTCTGCGCCGCAAATCTGCAAGACCAAAATCTGGCATCAACCCACCACTACATTACTTCAGACTCACTGTGCAGACAACATCTACAAGTGTGGATCAGAGGCACAAATAAAGCTGAACATCCAGATCTCGTCCTCACCACACCCTGCTCCTTACCTGGATCCACATTGCAGCGCCCCGCCCCTCGGACGATGCAGAGTGGGGCGAATCCAAACAGCAGCGTGATGGATAGCAGGACCACCAGCGCTCCCAGTTTGATCTCCAGGGTGGGAACGTTGGCCGGATTGATCTGCAGCGCTGCCGTTTCCCTCCCAGGAGACAGGAGGGCAGAGGAGGAGACCGCCCCCACAAACATCTTTAGTCTGGTTTACCTTCAGCTCACTTTGGAGTCAGGCAGCGAGGAGGAGGAGCTCTCAAACACTCGCCATGAATTCACACAGGAGACGACTCTGTCAAACAGATCAGAAATACAGTGCAGTTAAATCCACTCTGACCTGCAGACTCTTTCTGTCTTCCACGGCAACAGATCTTAGTTCCTTCTACTTTCTGGATACTGTGACCTCTGACCTCGACCTCTTTGATGGAAGCTTGGGCCACCGCTTTAGTCCAAAGTGAAACATCTCAACAACAACTGGATGGATTATCATGGACTTTGGTACAAACATTCATGGTTCCCAGAGTTACTTTGTTGATATTTTGATCTGCTGTTGATCTTTCCATTACTTTTACCAGTACTAACCCCAATGCTAAGTGGTCAAACTTCCCAGTTGTTCAGTTCATGACAGTGTTTCTCTAAAACTAAAGACTCTCATCAACCTCTGGCTACAAATGTAGTTTTGAGCTACAAGTCATAAATTCCAGCTCTTTAGCACTCTTCAGTAACATTTTGCAGGACCTTAACCTTACTTACGCAACACGTCCTGCCAAGTACCAGTGCAGCGACAGATACACCGAAACTTTGTGACTTAACGTTATTGGTAAACGTGAAATGTTGTAAACGTTGTGAAATGGTTGTAGTTTGGTTAGGTTTAGGAAAATATCCTGGTTTAGGTTAAAATAAATACATTAAAGGCCAATTTATACTTCTGCGCCAAATCTACGCCCTAGCCTGAAGCACTCCTTCCCAAAAATGTAGCTACAAGTCGCTGCGACACAGACCGCAGGAACTGTTACGGTCGGCTTGGTAGCATCGCATTTCCTCCTACGCATTTCCAGCATGTCCTTCTTCTTCTGCTTACACTGGTTCCAGGGTCGTACATACCATCTCCTCAAATGCCTTCTCTCATGTCTGTGTTTTAGTTATTTCACTAAAAGTAACTGCTGCTCAACATCGATCAGCTCCGACTCCAACATGTTTTTGTTCTCTTGTGTTCTCAAACCTCAAACTTGAGTGAAAGTTCTGTGTTTACTTGACTCATCCACCCACCACCACCTCCTTACACGGACTTTGTCACTCTTTATACTACGTCACCTGACTTCTTCTGCCACTAGAGGTCACGGCCTAACTAACAACCTAAATATGGGTCGCAATCAGCTGCTGCATAATCAACCTGGATATAAATGTAATATGTACTAATGATGCATGTAAAAATACTGAAAATGTGCTATCTTTGTATCCTTGTAACTTACCTTCATGATTAGTACCTTTACACATAGTAGCCTTTGCACATAGAGAGGCCTACACATCAACATATTACAAGATCTAACAAGATGCAGAAACTAAGGACATAATAAGCAAACCGTCCATGACATAAATAAAACCCAAGCTGCTCTGCTTTAAATCTTTATGGAGATCATTATGTTTAGACGTTTGCTTGTATTGATGCATCAATAAAAAAATATGTCTACCACCTCACTACTACACCACTTAACACATCAGTCCAAGTCATGACATAAATGGAGAAACATCCCTTTATTAAGATTTTACACTTCTACACATGAAGTATGTGTTAAATGTCAAACCACATAAATGAAGGAAGAAATATTTATATATTTTCCTTAGGTTAAAGTAGAGTTCTCAAACATTTGTACAAAGTACCCACATTTGTTTATTACAAATGGCACCAGTTCAATCCTCTATAAGAATATCACAGACCTCGGGAGTTGAGGTCAAATGCATTGTGTTCCCAATACTGGGGTAGGTTGTAAAAATAAGACAAAAGAAGCAAAAATAGATGCCACACCAAATGACATGCTACAAAAAAAGGTAGTGATATAAAAGAACAATGTTCCTCTCTCACTGTAACAGACTTGGTCTGATGACTTACGCACATGTATGTTTATGTACATTTATTTAGCCTATAGAATAAACTTACTTAACAGTTTACTTAATAAATACTACAGCAATGTAATTAATTAAAGAACATCTCTGTACATCCTTAGGTCTAACTATAAAGAGGTGTGTGTCTGTGTGTGTTAATGTGTGTATATTCTTAATCAGAGTCACAGTCAGTGCTTGAAGTTGGCCAGTACTCACCAGTACGCAATACCAACACTTCTATATTTTACTCTTTGGCGTACTGGGACTTTTTATTGTGCACCGGAGTTTCTCACAAGCTGCCCTTACGGTTCTCTGCCCTCTCCACGCCAACTATTCTCCCCTATTGTAAGTATCAAGAGTAAAAGTACTCATTAGCATATCATGTACACTAGTCCTATTTTATCACATTATTATTACTATTAGGCTATTTGAAATTTAATTTGACCTTAACTACTTAAACGTTGCTATTTGGTAGTTCAATCCTCAACATCATTTTGACTCAAACTCGTTAAAAGGTTTTCATTGTAAACGTTTAATCTGAACTGAAGCTGACATACATGTCAGATATCATCTTTCATGACCCCATGTGCCTATTTTGTCTCCGTGGAAACGCGATTAAGGGACTTGTGAGGGGTTAATAAACATGCACAGCACACACACTATGTGTGTTTACATACGGAAATAAAACATGTTGTGTTTATTAATTTTAGCTTCGAGGGAGCTGATAAATTGTTTATTTAATTAATGTTTTATGTCTTTATTTTTAACCTTTGAATGGATCAAACTGTGTGAATTAAAACTTCTTCCTCAGGCTGCAATAACGCGAAAACTAAAATAAACAGTAAAACGTCTCTAAAGGAGATCATAACCCAGAGGAAAGAAACACGGCAAGTGATTCACGTTGCGGAACTTTGATGAAACTTCTCACATTTTTTTTCTCAGCTCGGTAATAAATCTCGATCCATACCTGAATCCGGATCCGGCAGCTCAGACTGACCCCCCTCAACAGAACTTAAGAGTTTAAACAAGTCCAGTTTGGTGCTTTTTCTCAGCTCGATGTTGTTTCATGTTGTCCGGGAATTGGTGAGTCAGTTCCCATCAGCTGATCCCGCTTCATGATGTAGCTGCTGTCAAGTAGAACAGTGAAATACTTCCGGTTTTCGAAATAAAAGCTGGTTTTGAGCTGTCTTTGATTGCTAACACAAACTTTAATTGTGCTTTTAGTTTCTGTATTTTCATTTTGTTTTATTTGATACTCAACCTGTGATGGGGGCGGAGGCATTGAGACGTTGGGACACTGCTAATTTCCTTTAAATGAGAACGAGAGCCCATGCTTTTATTTTGATGTCAAAATCTTTTGATTCCGGTCTTGTTGTGTTTGGCTCTGACTGACTTCACACAGCTGCAGCTGAGAGGAGGATCCATCCAGCTGAGCACAGATCCTGGAACAGTCCTGTCACTTTTCATCACTTAGGCTATTAATCACAAAAGTCAGAGATCAAAATGAAAAACATCAGTCTCCAGTGAAGGACTGAATTCTTTTCTTTCTGTCTTTTGATGTTTTGACTTCATTGGCTGTTTGCCAGAGATGGAAATACAATGAACAAAAACAACCTTCAAAAAGTGGTGCAACATACTTGCGTTCTCAAGTACTATAAAAATTAGTAGGTAGGCCCATTAGTGACTACTTTACTTGAGTGTTTTCATTGAATGCTACTTTATAATATCTACATCTCAGAGGCAAATAGGCCTACTCAGTGTTGGGCAGTTTAATTTCTTCAAGTATGGCTGTTATTAGTTTAACAACATTTCTCAGTAGCTTGGTGGTAGCATCACTGTTTTCTGAATCGAATAGCTTTTTAGTAGTGAAGCTCTTTCATTGACCGAGTAGCGCGGTAGCGTCCACATACGCTACATTTTCCCAAGCATTTCTGAAGGATCAGTGAGTGACGCCAACGCCACAAACGGACCTGTATGTGCAGCCGGTGACATCACGTACCGATCCTTGGGATGATGTCTGCGACTTGCTGCTGGAGAATAAAAACACGCGCAATTGAGTTTACTTTCTATTGTGATAGTTATTGTAACACTGGTCACATCAATAAACAGAGAAGGATCAGGGTCCAGCCTGGACAGCTCTTCCCTCGAGTGAGGAGGAAGCTTTGAGATGTAGTGGCAGAAATTTGTTTCCATGGGATGAGATGAGAGATTTCTCTCTCTCTCTTTCTCTCAGGGCTGTTGCCATGAATATGAATTAGAATTAGGTTGTTTAGGTTGCAATATTGCCAGAACACAATCTCACACATAAACAATAAAAAAGATATAATTAATAAATGAAATGACATTATAAAAACTAAAGAAAGAGGAATAAAAACAACAAACACATTATAGGCCTATGTTACATTGAAAATATGTCTTGCTTTTTGACAAGCAGTAGAATTTTTCAAAGGAACAATTATTAAAATAACAATATTAATGATAATAATGTGATAATTAAGTAACTTTGTAATGTAACACATTATGTAACACACTAAGACATCTAAGAAGAGACTTTTATTTTGAAGTTGATCATTTTACTTTATACAAAAAACAATGGTTCTCAGTTCGTTGCATGAGGAAATACATTTTATTGCAATGATATGGCAGTAAGTAGGAGAGTTTCTGTGTGTCTGATTTAGCTCTCTCTTGTGCACACACTCTGTTTGGAGCAGGTTTTTAGTCTTTCTTCTATTGCTACTGTGGAATGAAGTTGGTTCAATGCAAAAAATAAAATATTTAAAAATTTAAAAGTAGCTTAGATGTAGTAAACTACTTTTGCCACGTTGCTGTAGATTAGCTCACACTGCAAATACTGTACTTTTCAGACTAAAGTTTTTATTCCTGTCCAGTTAAAATAATGAATGTATTTTGTGATAAACCGCAGGATGAAGAGTTCCTTTAAGGGCTGAGACAATCCTTGACTTAAATAAACTCTTTAAACCCTCTCAGATCAGCTGGATAATATCCATCGTCACAAAGCTGAAAACAAAAAAGCACAAATTGTTCCATAAGGACCCTGGAACACCTTGCAGCTGACCCAAAACCTTTCTCAAAGACCCCGAAAGGTCTGAACCTCTGAAAACACCATTTAGAACCCAAGAATTCCCTTAAAGATCTCTCAAAAAGCCCAGACAGTCTCTCAAGAACCCCTGCAGCCCCGCTGAGATTCACTGAACAACCCCTCATTGTCACGATCCTGTCCTGAGTTTCTCTGAGTTTATTGTTGCCGGTTCAGTATCTGTTATTTAGTCTGTTTTGGTTCCATGTCTTTGTGCCCAGTCCTGTGCCTTAGTTTAGTTTTAGTATTTACTTCTAGTTACTTGTCTGCATTCTTTTAGTTTTAGTCTGCTCTGTAGTGCTCGGTGTTGTTCTGTGTTCTCATTTCGGTTCTGTCTGTTATGATCCCTGATTTATAGTTGGTGAGTTTTTGTCTGTTTACATGGGTTTCTGTTGTCTGAAGTTAGAGTCTTGTCTGGTATTTTGTTACATGTGTTCTGTCCTGCCTATTGCCCTGTGTCCAGTATCTGTTATATAGTTAGTCTGTGTACTTCTGTGTTCTAACCATGTCTGCTATGAGTTTTGTTTTGTCCCATCCTCAGTCTGTTTTCCCTCTTGGTGTTAGTTTTGTTGTGATCAGTCTGCTTGTGTCTGTTACCCCAGTAATCCCTCTGCATGTCAGTCTCTCTGTTTTCCCTGTTGTCTCTCTGCCTGCCTGTGTCTCGGTAGTCTCATGTCTGTCAGCTGTGTTGCTCCCACCCTGCTCGTTAGTCCCTGGTGTATGTTCATTATATGTTCATACCTGGTGTTTCTGTTCATTCCCTGTCCGGTCATTGTCGCATGTTTACGCTCTGTCTCATGTTGTCTGCCTTGAAAAATATTTCTCAATTATTTATATATAAGGTTAAAACCGAAAGAACATCTATAGACTAATACATCTGTAAACCATTCAAGAATACATGGAACTCCCTGAAGGTTCCGTCAACAACCCCTGGAATCTGGCCACTCAGAGGTCTCTCTCCAGTACGTACTCCTCACAGTAGTCCTGGTAGAATGACACATTGCTGTTGTTCTGGCAGAACTGGCGAAGCCCGGGCCAAACCGCAGGGTCCACGTAGGTGTAGAAGATCAGGTAACCTTCGACACTCTGCAGCAAAGCTTCAAGCTGAGACAGAAACACCGCGCACACTGAAGACAAACTGCGGCCGAAGATGTTGATGTTGAAGTGCAGTGCATCGTGGCGGTAGGGAACAGCGTACGGTGTGGTGCACAGGCTGATGGTCATGGGCTCAAACTCACGATCTACAATCCACGTCAACCCCCTACGGCGCAGCACCTCTAGGTTTGCCTCCATGGGCTTCAGAGGCTCCCAGTCATTGATGATGGTTTTACCAGGCAGCAGGTTGCAAACCACATGGTCGGTGAGGACCAGAGTCTCCGCCTGCTGCTGGCTCAGGGTTACCGGGGCGTGGGGGGAGGAGCCAGGCAGGCAGGGGAGTCTGGAACGAAGCTCGGCAACAAAGAAGCCAAGATTGGGTGCCTCGCAACACAAAGACAAGATGGCCTGCAGAGGGCGACAGTTAAGGAGGTCTGATAGTGGATAGGTAGTGAAGGATTGGTCAGATACTTAGTCCAGTTTACTTTTTCTTTGATCAGATATTTCCTGATTTTAATCTTAAAGTCATAGTAAAACCAAAGTTAAAGCGTCTTTGTCCTACGTGCAACAGAGATTTCTAAGATTAATATTGTAAGAGATATTTAAATCAAATCCATCACATCACTTTTCTTCTGATATCACTCTGCTAGCCACTGCAACTCATGAGCTAACGGTCAAGTGTGGTTTTATATGCTGTGTTTACACATGTTTATCCAATCAAATGTGATGTGGGGTAAACTGGTTGCCCCGCATCACATTTGATTGACTGTAAACACCCCTGAGTTCAAGAGAAGTCATCAAAATGAATTTACGCTTTACAGGACAAGAGAGTGATTTTAATATGAAAACATACAAAATTACAGAATTATACCTAAAATTGTGTTTTTAATGTCAGTGTGTCTTTAACTAAACCCTAAAGCCCTGGACATACTTGCTTTTAACTACGCGTTTGCGTAAGCTAGATGGCTGGCATGCGAATCCTGCGTTCCTGCGTAGGTTGTGTACGTCTCCAGAAATTAACGCTACTCGTCCGCGAGATGCAATACAGCACATGAACGTGGGGGCAGTATGTCGAGCTCACCGGCAGGTCAGCATCAAACTACTGGTCCACACACCAGCCCAGGTGTAGGCAGTATGGAATTGGATTGCTAACCGCCATTAAACGCAGAAGAAGAAGAAGATCAGCAGCAGACTTAACAAAGGAGATTTATGGCCGGATGTTTACATTAAAACTCCTGGAGCTAGCCCACACTTACCGAGATCGTTATGATGTCTCATTAAAATCATAACCTGCTCGAGTGTCGCTATGTTTAGTTTGTTTACAAATTCGGAGGTTGTCAAGATAGATAATCAGATGTCGACGAGAGATGGTCCGGCCCCGGTCTGCCCCCTAGTGGATTCAGGTTAATCCTCCAGGTACACGCAGGCAAGCTGTTTGCTGTTTGCATCGCCGACGCCTGTCTAGGCCTACGCATTGGTAAATAGCAAGTATATTGGGGGTGTAACTTTAATCATAAAGCAAGTCTTTACACTAAACTTCAATGGTTTACTTGTCTACAATCGAGATGCGATGTGACACACCTCCTTAGCTATGAGTCGGTACTTGGCCAGTGTTTGTGGTGAAGGCTTGTCTCCTCGGCTCAGTCTGACTGTGGAGACTTCTGGGTAGTGGTGGCGGATATAGCCTGTCACGTGCCTCTGGAGGGTGCCAGCGAGCCCGCGGCCTCTCAAATCAGGTGCCACCCTGAGACCCTGAAATACGGCTGTCTGACCACCGTCAACCAGCAGTGCAGACTCCAGCGCCACCTACAGGTGGGCACACACATGTGAGCTGGATGATTGTTAATTTGCATGCAGGAAATAGACCTGGCTAAACATGTACATTCTAAGAACTTTTATTTTTATTTTGTGGTGAGTGTC